TATATCCCTACCCCTATAAAGGGGGAGGGCAGGGGGGGGGGACAAAACCAACCTGTCAAATTCCATTTTATTTTGCTTAGAAACCCTAGGATAGTAATCCAACGCCTCAAATTTACTAGAATTGTAAAGTAACATTTCTTAACAAACCTTAGGTACTAGTTAAAAAATACTTATCTCCGGAGCTAAGTGCAAAATTTAAAGAACCCTGGAATAGGATTATTAATTTTTTAAATTATTCCTTATATATATGGTTTATAATTTCCCTTTTGTTTTATTTTTTACGACATAATTTTTTATATAATTTTATAAAATAAAATCGGGTTTTATAAAAAAACAATTTTTCAGGCTCTTTTTTTTTAACACATACTTAAACTATTACCAATCCATACAAAATCAATAAGTAAATAAATTTAGGAACCTAAAATATCCTAAAATAGCATTTTTTTAAATAGCTTTAAAAAAAATAAACCTTTATAAAAAATCAATTTTTCAAGCTCCGAAAATTTATTTTTTTCGGGCAAATTTAGAAATTAAAAGATTATTTATATTGTTTATCAAAAAATCCAATCCAAATTATAATATCGGGACTTAAGTCCGTAATTCCAATTCCTTAGTCCACCGTACTACCAACTAAACTATGGGATATTAATTTCCTTTTCCACAAATAAGGCCATAAACAACATAACTAGCTAAAGTAGGCAACAAAAATTACAAAAAAAACAATTTTTCGAATTCCAAAAAAATATTTTTTACATATTAACCTTATAAAATTCAAATCAGCCCAATTTTGTAAACAAAACACTTTTCAGACTCTAAAACATAAAATTTTCGCATAACTCTTATACAAATGCCTACAATACAAAACTAAGAATGTCCTATAAATTTAAGGGACCCTCAGCCTGTTATGGTGTAAATTTACCTACATTTAACAATAATAATTTAAGGGACCCTAGGCCTCAAACTTTCGGCTTCTTAACCAGCGCTCGGGCTGTAAATATTTTAAATTTATATAAAGTTTATTTTTTAAAATTATATTTATAAGTTATTATTATTATTATTTTATATAGTTTTTGTAATGATTTAATTATAAGATATTGTTAATTGAATTTAATTGATTAATTTTTCATTTTGAAATGTTTGTTGAATTGTTCGCAATATAGTTGTTATATTAATTTCCTCATTTATTGGATGTTCGATGAAAATAAATATAGGATTGTGAAATAAATGATTTATAATGAGGCGGACCCTTCATGTTCACCAGTGAATGTGTCCTATATGTTTTTTTGCAATATATAAAATATAAGTTAATTATATCTAATTTATGTCGGCTTTCCTGGACCATCACATGAAAATAATATTGCAATTGCACCGCAATAAGATCATATTTTCCGTCAACTAAATGATAGGCAAACAATGGCAAACAAATCAAATTATTGGATTTGGTGCGGTTCTATTTTTAGAAAACCCAAGGGACCTAAACAAATAAATTGTGGCGGAATCATCCTCATATTTCATTTCTGAGCTAAGCATCCCCGTTGGTTGCTGTAAAACCGCTAATCTGTACTCATGCTTGTTATATATCTTCCGAGTCATTTTGAAAGCGCTCCATGCACTATGACAATTCTGTTTGAAGCACCGTTGGGTGATTGGAAAACAACCAAATTTCTGTGCGAACTCCATGCAAAACTTGAGCAACCCCAAGGACAACTGCAACTGATAGCTAGTTGCACATCACCCCATCCAAATTTCAGATATAGCCCATCGATCGATCCCAGTCCCAACCATTAAGCATGTTCCACCCTTACGATTTTGGGTGGCTAAACTTTAGTTAAACCACGATATAGCCAATGTTTCTTGATCGTCAACTTTTTGTACCTTGTTTTTGTTGGTTTTACCTTCATGAACTACATGGTTTTCACAAAATCTCAGTTTGATTCAACGTTGTATTGATGATTCTTTTTGGTTCATCCTTTAAAATCCAGCATCTTTCTTCCTGAAACCTACATTTTGTGGTGGCTTAAACATCATTCGACCCACCCACATGAGCCATGTTTATTTTACTTCTTAACTCACTTCACTCACCATTTTGAGGGTAAATCACAATTGTTCTTGGTCAACTCGCCGTCCTTCGCCGATTGCCAAGCGACCCGCAGCCCAGCCAGCTGCAGTTGGTGTCCCTGCGCCGTCCGGCTTTGCGTCAGCGCGCCTGAGGCATCGCCGCGCGCAGTGTGAATCTGCTGACGCCAGGCGGAGACCTGGAGTCGCCAGGCGCGGCTCAGGGTGCAACCGGGGTTGCAACCATGGTTAGTGCTGGAGAAAGTGGTATGAGATGACAGACATGAAATTGATGACATGGGAGATGAGTTGGGTTACTCAAATTAATTGGTTCATGATTAGTCGTTGCTTAGTTAGGTTTGTCATGGTTTGTTGATGGGTGAATCCATGATTTGGTACTTAGGTATTACTTTTACAATAATTACGAATGGTTATGCTCCAATTTCTCCCAGGATTGTTGCTTAAACATCCAGCATGAAATTTCGGGGAAAGTCTTGGAGCCCAGTTTTATAGGTATAATTTGGTTGGGCCCAGCTTGATTTCTTACAAAGTTACACCAGCATAGACCCCAAACAGCAACAAGGCATGTTTCCACCAAGGTCATGTGCAATTCAAAATTCATGGAACTGTCTGGCACACTCCTGTTGAGAAAAGAAAGAAGAAGAGAGAAGAAGGGAGACAAGCACCAGAACCCCAGCCCGAAGCAGGAGGAACCCCTTGGGGATGGTGATGGCATTGGAACTGGAGCTCCACCCTGGTGTTGATCTCCATGGCACAGGTGTGCTGTAATTCCCATATTTTCTGGTTGAAGCACATTGTCACACATATTTTGTTTGGTTCTGAAACATTCGCCTTTGCTGATTGAAATTCCCAATCCAGTGTAATCCATGTAATTACTTGTCATCATCATACACACCATGAAATCCATTGGCATTATTGCCAACTTTGGATACCCTGCAAACAAATATCTTTTAAAGAACTGCACTAACCCACTTCTGGTTGACACCCAAAAAATTGTTTTGGTAGGCTCCCCATTGCCCAAAATCCACCGCCTCCTCCTCTGTCCCATTGGAGTGTTGGAGGTACCTTTCCGTGACCTGCCGGTTCTGAGTGACAAGCGACCAGAATTGGCAGACACTAAGTATTTGGTTGTCCAAAACCAGGGCGCACCCCAAGATTGCAGTATTCAAATTGGAATCAAACTATAATCATCAACATATATATATATATATGTATGTAATGAATTGTGGGTACCCTTTTTTTAGAAACAACCTCATAAAATTGGTTTTGAAGATTCACCTATCCAACCATTGGCTCCTTTTTGTGGTGAAAAACCCAAACCCATGAATCATGGCCGGAGGGAGACCTTGCGGGAGGCCCTTCGGTGATCATGTCAAGCTGCAGATCCCTCAATGGGCATTGAAAAGAACCAATCCAAACAAACGACTTGGATCAATGGGGTACAATCCATTGATGAGTTTTTTTATGTTTTTTTTTCACCTCTGCTGCTTGAGTCGAATCATCCTTATTTCAATTCGAAAAAAACATATATATATATACACACATGCATTTCCGGAATGGTATCATGCTTTCCCCTGAATCTCTTGACTTCTAACATTTTCAGCTGTTTGGGGGTTGCTAAATTCATATCCACACGACTTGACAGTTGGATCCATTTGCTGGGTGATGTACTGTTGGTCACCATTGTGAATTTGAATTGGTAGTCCATGCTATGCCAACTCGCCCACGAACTCGGCTGTTAATGCCGGCAATTCTCTGTCCGTCTCATGACTTCTTCGATGAACTTCTGGCATCGCTGCATTGTGAAAACTTGGCTGATCTGCCACTTAAAATCCGCGATTCTGCCTGGGGCTCGAATACACCCACACATAAATCTTTGTCATAAAACCATATTCTTTTGGGGGGTTCAATAATTTTGACGAGCCCCCATCCCAAATATCATTTTTCTTATCGACAAATCGCAATTTTGGAACGTGATTCTATGTGTTTACACAATTCAACAATCAATGTTTTCTTGGGTCAATACTTGATATCTTTTAGATTCTTCCAAAACACATCTAGCTTGTTTTTAAACCCCATGAATACCAATCAATGATACAGATTTTAAATATCATAAACCTCAGTTGCTGGAGTTACTCATAAACCATCATAAACCAACTTAGCAAACATACATCATATAAACTTCTTTTGGAACCCATACAAATCCCGCCAACTTAGCAATCATCAACTATAAACCCCCATCCAAATCCCTATTTCGTTGGTCAAATCTCCGCATTTTTCTGCCTCCTCGGTGTCCTCGCAGCGATCGGCGATGGCCAGGACATAGGTCCAGCTGCCGATGCCTTCGTTCAGACGACGTGCGAAATGCAGACCTCGGGCGATCGGTGCCGGATGGTGCCGGTGTTTCGATATCGTTGGAGATCGAACAATAATCTTATGATATTTGTATATAATGGTTCACGATAGTTGAACGAAAACATATCATCATGCTTCACGATATTTGACATGGTCTGTGTGTTGTAATAACTTGTATTAAAATTATATTTCTTGATATTTGTGTTATGGGATATAGAATGTCATGGCAAGGTTACCCAAGGGTTGGTATTAATCACTGAGTTTTCACGTCACACTCATCCAATCAATGATGAGCATATGACAGTTGACCATACAATCAGACTCACCTGTTTTTACCCAATTATATATACACATATATCATATATGAAATATTATATATCATATATCATATATCACATATCAAATATAAATATATATATATATAAAAACATGCATTTGACAAACAGAAATGGGAATATGACAAACAACAACACATGAAGTTTTACCGGTGAATGTTGGATGATATCCAACATTCACATCGGCGGATGGGCCCCTTCCAGTTGATGTTTCCCTACGTCCAAGTGGGTTTCTGTGAAAACTTAAGGGAAAACCATGGAACCCCTCAAAGTTTATAATATTTGATGGCAAAATATGGTGAAACTGAAAAAGTATGAAAAAGTGCATCACCATTTTCCCTACCAAAAAATAAGCCACATGTTCACTGGTCAATCCATGTTCAGCTCAAATTCCAGTCAGCTCCGAGCGGCAGTTTTGATCCAAGGGGATCCAATTCGATCCATCAAAGACCTCTGTCCACACGTGATCCCAGTCTAAGGGCATGCAAACTCCTCGGACACCGGGGGGATTTGTCTCTGAAAATCGTGCAATTACCCAATTCCACTGGTTTATCCGCGGGATGATCGAAGCCAGCACATCTCTCGCAATGTGAATCCAGGATGTGATCCCCCATAGCCATTCCATCCACTGATTTATCATGTTCCCAATATGTTACCTCGTAATATGGCCCAGCAAAGGATGACCATCATGCAGTATGGAAAATTATGCACTTTAATTCTTGTAAAACATGGGAACACATAGTGAACATATGTGAACATGAGCAAAAACATGCAAAAACCATCATTTTTCCCACATTTTCCCCATCATTTCCCCATCACCAGGCACCGAGGGGCTCAGCTGGATGCCCAAGTATTGCGCCAGCCACACCTTGAGGTCCTCTTGCTCACCACACAGACGGCCCCAGCGATGTGGATTCCTCAAGCCACCAGCAAGTCACAGGAGAATTGGACTTCGGTTTGTTCATCGGTTCACATTTTAAACTCGTGGAATCTTCTGAGTACCCGAGTTTTATCATGTTTTATCCATGCCCCTGTTGTTTGAGTAGGCTTACTGTATAGAAAACGCATCTGGAAAGCCAAAGAATCTCCCTTTGATGATCATCCGTCAAGCCCCGCACAGCGACTGCCAAACTCGCAACGCACCCCATATAATTTTAAGGGTTATATCATGGTTATATCATAGTTATATCCCAACTTATGGTGCTTATATGTGCTTATCACTGTGGTCCATGGTCATTACATGTTCTACCCATTAAGAACCCCAAACTGCACCGGCTGAAACCAGCCACAACTTCAAGGTGATTTCAGGGTGCGAAGCGCGAAACCAGCGGCTGACCGCGTGACACTCAGGACATCCTGGGCCCGCATTTCGTCGAGTTTTTTCAGCATTCAACAAACACCTCCAGCAAATGAACATAGACCCGGAAACTGCATGAAAATACCATGTTTACCCTCTGGTGAACTAACATAGCAATGGAAAATGGCCATTTATAGTGGATTTTCCCATTAAACATGGTGATTTTCCATTGCTATGTTAGTTCACCAGAGGGTATCCATGTTTTCAATGGTACTAATCTTCCAACCCCCAACTTATGGCCGGGTTATGCCAGGTCTATGTTAGTTGGGGGGATGGTCAAAATCATGGCAATTTCAACGTGTTTTATGGTCCTTCCTACTTGGGTCCACTCCTACTTCAAAGGAACAACGGGCAAACCCTTAATCTTCATGTCGATTCAGATGCATACCTTCTTTCCACTTATCCTTCGGCGACCGTTTTGGCCACACTCCACACCTTCCAACAAGGAATGCACGAATATAGATATCTTGTGCGTACATTTCACACCTTTTTCTAGAAATAAACACCGCGTCCCACTACATAGAATATAATCATTGAATCCACTAAATCCATACTGATCCTGAGCTGTCAGCAACCTCTTGATATTCACGATGATTCACGTCATTATATCTTATAATCAGACACTGTGGATGGAAAAACACCCTGCACCACCTTGGATGGTTGAAACATGTTGGAACCTTCCAAAAATGGGATACATACCCTCTGGTAATTTAACAATATTGAACATATTCCATTTATATTTTATTTACGTAACAAATGGTGATTTTCCACAGTTTTTTTTAATGTGTTTGGTATGTTAACAGAGGGTCAACCACCAATCATCTCGCGGATCCACCGTCGCCAGGGCTCGGTAGACGAAGACCACGGCCCCGCGGGGTCCACGGAACCAGCCCGCGCGGATGAAGGGCCGTTCCGCGGCCGTGGGCTCTTCTTCGGTGAGGTTCGGGTCCTGCGCCGGTGATGTGAACGTGGTATAAAGGGTGATGTGAAGCATCAAATGTGAAGGCCATTTACATCCATTTACCAGGTGTAAATACAACTGATCATATAAAATGGACATAATCTGGCAATAAAATGTTGTATCCAGTGATGTGAACCATGCAGTTTTGTTAAGGCCATTTACTGATGTTGAAATACAACTGATCATAAAATATATAAAATATAAATGTGAAGGCCATTTCCCATGACGGATCCATGGTGCTGGTATATATGCTAACAAAAAGGGGGTATATTGATGGGATCCATGTTACCATATATAGCAGCACCATGGATCCTATGGGTTTACCAGGTGTAAATACAACTGATCATAAAATATGTTATAAATGGGGTTATAATTCCATTGGGGTGACTTACTGACTTATAACTGGTGTTTCGGGCCATCGTGGGCCATGGGAGGTGATGACTGGGGTACCCCCCAGCAACTACAAATATAACTTGAACTACAACCACAACGACAATTTTTATATTACACCTTCAGCAACATCAACCCCACTACAACCACAACTACTGCACTACACCACACTACATCCCGGGAGTTGGTAGTGAGGGCTACTGACTACTGCAACCATTGCACCTACTCCAAAAAGCACAGCTCCAACCACTGTTGGGTCCATTGGATTCGCTCTGCCATCCATGCACGATTCCAGTGCGGTACTACTGGCGCTATCTTTGGTTGACTGCAGCTGCTTCTGAGGCAGCGCCTCATCAAAGAATCTTCAGACTGCTAAAGATTCCAAAAGGAGGAAACAAGAAGAAAGGAATGGAAAGGAGAAGGAAAGACAGGATAGAAAGCATAGAGATAGGTAGAAAGGACAGGAAGCAGGAGAGACAAGGAAAGAAAGCAAGGGAAGAACGAAGGAGAGTCAAGAAGGAAGAACAACATGGAAGCGGATTGAATGTTTGTGTTTTATGTTATTTCCGCTGCAAAGAGCTTGTCCAAATTTCACTCTCAAGGCTGTGTGCGAAGGAATGTGGACAGTTGTTTAAGTGAAATAAAAAAATGAAACAAATGGATATAATGTTGTTAGAGTTCGTAAGGATCGGTGTCGCTTCGAAACTGATAGGCACCACGTTCCAACATTATTCTTTGATGAGTCGATTATATAGGGTCGACCAGGTGGGAATGGAGCCCAAGAAAACTCGAAAGAAAAGGTGTCTGCTGACCTCGAAGCTGTCCAAAGAAATCTTGAGCCTCTTGCGCTCTCTGGTAGCGGCTCCCGATCCCTGCACCATTTCCAAGGCGCAGCGGTGCCACTTTTGGATCTTTCTGCCTTTCTGCTTCCTTTCTTGTCGCTCGGCTACTTCGAAGAGCAAGCTGGCTCCAAACGGGCCATGTGGCTGGCGCGGAGAGAACCATCGCGTTACGCGCCGAGCCTTGACCGCCCTTGACAATCGCAGGAGATGATTGTGTCCCGTCCAGGGCGGTGAAGCCCTCTAAGTTCCATCTCAAGCCAAATTACAACGTCAACCTATCAAGTAAATAACTATTGACCCGGACATGTCTCGACCAAGTGCTATCTAGTCGAAGCTACCAAGGGGACTCAAAAATAATCCCGCAAATTTCACCTGCATTTGTTGGGGTGAATAGATTTGAGTCATAAGCCATTTCAAGCAGAACTAATGTAAATGAACCACCATCCAAAAAGTCCGGGATCCAGTTCATTTGGGGACATGATATTCAAACTCAGGACAAGTTGCTATACTCCTTAAAAACCCATTGAATTTGGGGAAATTTCCCATCATTCACCAACCTGACGTGAATGGTCATTTTATTGGCAGGTTCTCATATTTCAACCTCATTCGTTGAGGTTGCTGCAGTTTGACCATACCTTAAATACGCCATGTATGGTCAACATCTACTAACATTCCCCGCAACATGACCCACATATCAGTTGCCCATTGGGATATACCATGGCCATCGCGACCCGGAAAAACTGCAGCTGTCGCCCTGCAAATCAAACATGGCTGGAACATCTCCCCAAAAAAAATTGCTGGATCTCCCCATTTGAAATCTATGAATCTTCCATACAACAACCTCCATATCTATAGATATCTAACATTATTTCACCGTATAGAAATGGGGAAATTATAGGAAATTCACCATTTCCCAACCGGGATTTTCCGCCAGAAAAAACACTCCTCCTCGGCCGGGAAGTTGTCGGGCACACGTCGGCCGCAACTTTGGCATTGGACGTGCACGTATTCCACGATGGGATGTGCTTCCACCTGTCTCCCGCGTCGCGACAAGGAGGGTGATTCTTCCGACATCGGCTTTCCGAAAACCAAACCAATAGAAGTCGGGGGTTTGGAAATGGTGCCTGAATATCTTCGATAATGGAGGTATGTCATGTATATATATATAATATATATATATATTTGCAAACAAGCCGCGTTTGTAATCACTTTGAAATCTTCCACTTTTATTGGGAATGATTGGATATATGTATACGTCAGAAAATACTAGTATCATTAACTAATACAAATAAAATATGCATATAGTCGATTTTTAGTATGTGAATATATAAACCATATACATACTTGATAACCACACATACTTACATACACAACATACTGGTTACACATGCTACCCTCTGGTAATTTAACATAGCTATTGAAAATGGCCATAGAAATAGTGGATTTACCCATTAAAAATGGTGGATCTTTCCATAGCTATGTTAGTTTACCAGAGGGTATATGCTATGCATCCATTCTACAAGCAGTTGTTCCCCACCTGGCGCCACAGATCCACGGGATCGGCATCGCGACGAAAGGTCTTCACCGCGTCCAACCAAGTGGTGCCTACAGTTATGGCCATTTACCAGTTATAAGTGGTGATTTTTTATGGGATTATACATTCTATAAATGGGGTTTTGTTAGTACTTATAACTGGTAAATGGCCATAACTCGAATAATGATAGATGACTGTTCTATCATGTTCTATCTTCGGCGTTATGCAATTCGATTGATTATCTAGAATTCCCATATATTCCCATCTTTAGGGCTTATGCTGGATATATCTAGAAGTACCCTCTGGTAATTTAACATAGCTATTAAAAAAACATAGAAATAGTTGATTTACCTACTAAAGATGGTGATTTTCCACAGCTATGTTAGTTTACCAGAGGGTAGAATAAATGTCAGTATCTGTGTTATAATCAGGTTATCCCAATATTTTTCCCGTGGCTCAAGTCACGCAGCCACGCACCACCAATTTTTTGGGCTGATTCTGAAGCATAGCTGGTTGGTGGTTGACCTACCCCTCTGAAAAATGATGGAGTTCGTCAGTTGGGATGATGACATTCCCAATCTATGGAAAAAAAAATGTTCCAAACCACCAATCAGCACATCATTTTCCTTCGTGGTTTGTCCTACTCAGCAGCTTGGTGATCCCTAGCTGCAGCTAGGCTGCAGCTAGGTGATCCCTGGCCATTTTGAGTTGCATCCCCATATTTTGTTGATTGGATTCCATGGTTTTAGAGGCTTAAATATCATGTCCAACCGTCATTTTACATCATTGTTTCCGGCGCCATCACCTGTTTCCCAAAATCAGGAACGGTTTGGTCTCCTATTGAACATGGAAATCATCAGCTTTTCGTAACATACCCGTTATCGACATTTTTTATTTTTCACCATGTATCCCTCATTGTTGGCTTATGATTTTCGACAAGCCTCTAGCCCTAGTGCTGAACTGTTCCATAGCGAACTGTTAAACTACCGTGAGGGAAAACTATGGAAAACTAACATAGATGTGGAAGCCACGGCCCATAGAAAATAGATGATTTACCTAAAGAAATGCTGCTTTTCCACATCTATCTTTGTTTAGAATTGTTTAGAGGGAAACACTCTATCCCAAAACATATTCCCATGATATCCCTATGATATCCCTATGATATCCCTATGATATCTCTACAAACCCCTATGGTTGTTGGTTGAACCCGCCATTCTCCCCATTGTGGGACCACATCCATCGTCGCCTTCTGGCAGATGACACCGCGCCGCCAAGTCTTTGGGCAGCACGAAGCTCGCCTTGCGAGAAGGAACAACGAAACAACGGTCGTGGAGGCAATGAACTGTCTTAGAATCGACAAGAATATATATATATACAGATAGTATGTCAATGTATATATCTCTCTATATATATATAATGTATATAGTATATTAATATATATATAGTATATTATACTAATTATATGCTATAACATATAGTATATATGAATTATGCTTAAGAATAGTATCTCATACTAGTATGAATGATGTGTAAGAATAGTAACGACGGTCTTGGATTGATTCATGTTCCTTTTGGTCCGCGGATAAGAAACATTGGGTGGATAACCATGGATAACCTATACGTGGCTGATACGGGTGTATATGCATGTAATTTCACTGATTAACTTCGGGTGTCAACTATTATCAGTGAATATACATGAATATACTAGACTAGGCAAAATCAGGGATATTTGGTCAACCATCCCTTGTTCCAAATATGGTCCAAACGGGTCAAAAGTTTCCCGCGAAGGGAGAACTTGACTCCTGCCAGTTTTTTTCACTGTGGTACCTCAAGTTGCCATGCCCCCATGAACGCTACTGTATACCTAAACTGGTTGGTGGTTTTAACCATCTTGAAAAATATGAAAGTCAATGGGAAGGATTATCTCATATATTATGGGAACATGTTCCAAACAACCAACCAGTAAATGTTTCCCATCCATAATTCAAGAAGGAACATGTACAGTTCCTGCAGGTTCAATATCACATGTTGTTGCATCAACATCGCTCCTTTTGCCGGTCAAGATTGAGTTGCATATTGACACCTGTCTTGTCAGAGCAAAGTCCCAAGTTTTCACCATTTGGAACCCAAAACAATACTGGTTGATCTTCATTTTCCCCATGCACAATGGCCATGATAGTGAGGGCCCCTCTCCTATTTGGAGACGAATCCTGGTGAATACCTGCATATCATCTCTACGGTATGCTGAGTAATGCTGATTAAATCCAAGTTGATGCAGCTCTACTTTCAATTTTTGAAGAACCCCTTGCCAGTTTTCCCAATGCGTCCAGCTTTCCCAATGGATCTGGCTATTTTGCTCGTTCTTTTCCCCAGGAATTCTTTTACAATTTGTTCCCCATATGGACTGTTGGAAATGGGGTGCCCATGGTGCCCCCAAAGCTGCCATGATTTTAGCATATAAACTAGCCATCATTAATTTCCCATGAAAATTAAGACATTCATGGCAATTCATGGTAGCAATATGTAGCAATACTGGGTATAAACTTCCACACTTCCACACTCACCATGAAAAATCATATTCAATCCCCATATTTGCTGGGTAAACCACCAGTAAATCTCCATGTTATGCCATAGATATCCATACAGTTTGTCATGACATTTGGTCATGGCAGCTGTCGATCAAACTCCACCCAAACTGAGCGGCTCACCAGCACAGCTTCGGTTTTCTCCGGGGAATAGCCTCAACAGGCAACGGGATTGGACGTTAGCTGGAAAGAAGAAACTGGGTCCAGTTTGCTATCACCACACAAGAATTTCTCTTAAGGATTATTGTGACCATTGAGAATTGTTTAATATCGAGATATATCGAGTATAAACAATTTCTATGTGGTAAACCCAAACACAAAAACCATGGGATTAACCAACCATGACTCCAATCGGGTTCCTTTATTTTACATCGTGCCGTTAAACCTCTATTGGGGATGGTTTTGATGCAGGTTTACCAGCAGGTTTACCATGTCGACTTCCATGACGGGAGCTCCAAAAAGTGTTGGTGATGTTTTTGTCGTTTTTTCCAGGTCCAGATACCTTCTTGTTGGAGGTGTTTTAAGGAAGTCTCGGATTATTGCTAATGCCATCCCCATTGATATACACCCTAGACCCCCTGGTCTTGTATTCATGACTTGGGGTCCTATATGCAAGGTATTTATATAATTTAATGATTGTCATCTTTTTCTCTCAACATCTCTCAACACAAGTGGATGTGGGTCAAAATGGAAGACCTAGGGGACCACAGATGTTAGTCTAGTTTAGTATTAACCATCCACAATTTTGGGGTCCCTAATTTTGACCCATACCCAAGTGTTTAAACACCGAAACTCCAATTTTTTTGGATGGTGAGTCCCTGGCCGATCGTCCATGGTGCGCCGCCAAGGTACTTTTCAGCAGTTCCCACTTTTTGCGCACCGACCACACCTCGCAGATGTTGAAATTGGGGGGAACGCACTGGAGGCGAATACGAACTCAGCACCTCCCATCCTGGTTTTAAGATCTTATAACCTTTAAGCCGGATGCAACTGAGCAATGCGCAATGGGAATGGAACCAGGCAAAATTACATGATCTTAAAGTATTCGATGCGCGTCCTGCCGCAAGAATTCCTGCACAAACAAATCAACTGTCGGATCAAACTGGGGCTGTTCACCCAAATCCCAACAGGAACTGTTGGTCACATGCTAAAATCATTCGTCCAAAAGTTAGCTTTGGTTCAGCCTCAGTATTTTACCCCAAACAGCGTGGGAAATGTCATTCATGTTCTGCACCAAACAAGCAACTATTTGTATACACGTATGAGAATCCCAAATTTGGAAGATGTTCCCACTTAATGTGTATAAGTTCTGGGTGTACTTGTGAGCGTTGTTTTTTCCCCAAAACCTTGAATGAGGGATATGGACCCAACCTTTACCCTACTGCCCTGTTTTCCTGTTCAAAATGTACATACAGCTACCCTACAGGACCATGTAGGAGGGTTCCCTGAAATTTGCAGAGAAACCAATCATATTAATGGTTATTTAACACATTTTAACGTAGCTATGTAACATCGCTATTTTCAATGGGTAAGTACAATACATCATTACTTAAATCATCTACCGATGGACCACCATTTCCCATAGGCGATGTTGAAAAACCAGAGGGCACCCCATCAACATCAACATCTGGGCCTTCTTTCGCAGGATCTCTTCTGCTTTGCTCCTGAAAGCACAAAAATGGAAACCTGGGTCCGATGAAAGCTTCAAAAGGTTCCGAAAAAGGGTTCAATCGCAGCTTGTTCTGGATTCAAGCAATTAAGAAACCAGGGCACCTCAAAATCCTTTGGTTGATAAGCAGTTTGCCGATCAGACTAGGCATTTCAGGGATATTTTCAGGGTATCCCCCCTTGCCGCGGCGGTTCGCATTGGGCGCAACTGCGTTTCCCACAGATAGGGAAGCCTTGGTAACCCCATGCATCAGCACGCGCGGATACGTCCAAAGTCACGGCATTTCCCAAATGTCCTGCTGGGACAATTTTTGCACGCCCTTTTCGGATATCACTGTGCCAGGGTGCAACCCACAAGCAATCCCTTCCCCTCAGTGCCATGGCCGGCAGCGTCCCGGTCACATTGCAGCTTTGCCACGCTCGTGTGATGCGGACATGTAGAATCCTTTAAAGAAACTCAATGGCAACCCCACAATGTGGTGTCCCTCAGTGATTTTTGCTGGTTTATTAACCTCATTGACTAGTTCGATATATCCACCACCAACCCTCGTTGCATCAGCCATGGACCAACTCAGCGCACTCTGCGGACCATATAGACAGACCGACCTATATTGATTCCTCATGATTTCTCCATTGCAAAGATTAAAGAAGAGAATCCAAGGGTTCCAACATCGGCGGTGATGGATCATGCACTTAAGATCTTAGGCTACCCCAAACCCTGGGTTTTCCATGGGCTTTCGCACTAATAACCAATAACTTGAATGGTAACTTGCGGTCCCCCATTTTAGCAACCCCCCACCCCACCCTCCCAGTCGGCAGCCCTTGACCCAACCCCGCTCCGTGCATTATCCATTGCGAAGTTGAAGAGGCCTGCGCCCAACAAAAGGCCCAGCGCTTGATGCAAACCGACAACGGTCCCACACGCGCAATCCATGGGATTGGACCGCCCATCGGGAAAACTTTGACTCTTCATCCATGAAAATTGGAATTTAACCCCCTTTGTTTACCCAGATGATATGGGTTTGGAGTCTGGACTGGGTCAACATCTACTTGCTGTCTACTTTGGCCTTGGAGGACCAGACTTCGGGCGCTCATTTTGAGAAGGGGGCCCAAAAGCTGGACCCATATGGCATGGTTGCCACAGCTAGTGGCTGCATTCCCAGATTGAGCTGTCGAATCTCCATCCTTGGTGGTAAAAAAAAACTCTTGATCAGGACAAGGCCCATTACTTTAGAAAAAGATCATCAAGAGCAACATCAAAAGCTCCGAAAATCGCACCGATTATAAAATGACAGGGAACCAATTGAAAATACATCCGTGTGTATCTGTTGGCGTGCCACTCCTATCATTCCTGGGTGAACCATCCCAACTCTCCATATGGTCCATGTTGAATCCCTCTATGCCGAGAAGGCGGCGCATGGCCGCATGACACGTTCCAATTCTTCAAGTTGAACTGCCTGAAATTCAAGTTGTGGCTTCAACCCCATAATTCAGGAAAAATAAGAGGGTCACCAACATCCCATGTCTTTAGTTGGGACATGTTGGGACTATCATCCACCAAAATTCAACTAATTCTGGTTGGTGGTATACCTACCCCTCTGAAAAATATGAAAGTCAAATGGGATGATTATTACAGATATTATTACCAATATATGGAAAAATAACATATATTCCAAAACACCAACCAGAATTCCATTAAATCCCACAATCCCACTAAGGAGTAGAAAAAAAATAACCCTCGCCGCATCTCACCTGGCTTCAGTGGTAGGAGGGCTGCTAAAAACGCCCACCAACGCCGCAACCAACGCGCTCGAGCCATGCTGATGGCGTTTGCAAGTGCCCATTAAATGGGTTGAACTCATCTGTGATTCTATAAATCTTAAAATGGGGAGAATCTTTGTAACTGCTATTCACCTTTTGTTATTGTCATTTTTGACCACTAATTAATGACATTGTTAGCGACTATATTGGTGTATCTTCCTCAGCTCGTAGAAAAAGCCCGTATCTTTTAGAGGGTTTCTTCGACCGTTGGGATGGATTCTATCAATCAATTTTCGTAGGTAAATTCATGGAAATACCACACCCAATCCGGGTCAACACCTTTCGAGTGACTCGCCATATCACTCACATCAGAAACCTCATATTCACAGCCTGCAAAATAGGGCTCCGGTTTCCTAGGGGTACCCCCAAATCATCCATTAAATGGGACTTTCCACTATAAATAGTCTATAAATCATCCATTTTAAAATAATTAGTACCATTTATGAAACCCCCGCAAATGAACATCTTCGTATTGGATCGGTTCATTTCTTGGGGCCCGAGATTCGGACCTGGGACGGAAACGAAGATCTGGTCACAAAAAACAGCGCTCTTGGGAGGATCCTCTTGTGTAGCCCCAGTGCGTTCCACGTTCCAAGCAGAACTGGATTCAATGGTTCCTTCAGTGAATCCCTATGGCTTGTGACATGGGAGATCCACCGAAAATTTCTGCTTGGAACTGGGCTTCCCCGCAGAATCTTTGGAACCCACCGGCATGCGTGAACGCGGCACGCCGTGTGGCGACTCAGAACGTGGTACATAACAACGCAGGAAGTCCAGGCTCTACTCGAAGTATCAACCATATATTCATCAATAATGTACCAAAACCCAACAAAAACCGACCCTTTGGGGATGATTTGTAGCACCCATTGAATAAATTGTGTTTACCACATTAATCCCGTATAGCTTTTCAAGAACTATAACAACAAATCAACAGGCGCATTGTTTATTCACAGGAAGACGTCATTCAGTGTCTTCCACAACGAGGCATTTACCTCGATATATGGCCAGTTTCAATCGAGAAATGTATTTTCTAAAAACTCATACGATTTGCCCCTCGTTTCAACCCCATTTAGAGATACAAAGCTGGGTGAAATGCAGAGCGAACCGTGGTGATATCTATCAAAGAACCTCCCTCAAAGGCGGAGCGATGAAGATCCGGGGGAGCAATCCCTGCGGAAAGTCTGTTGCTGCAACTGGAACTTTTGCGAATGCTTTTACCACTGTTTTCACTGGGGTTCCTTCATGATCCTTCTGATTCTCTGGATAGCTGCTGCAAACATTTAAGTCATGTCAACTGAAGTATAAGATAGAAGTTTCAAAAACAAAGCATTGAAACCAGTAACAAGAGAGAGTATCTTCCCAATTGATATAAATTGCATGGCTCATGGCTCCCCAACTACCATTTCAAATTATCTTTAATCCCCCAAAGTGGGGAATACATGGTGTAGTCTTAGAGACCCTGCAACATCCTGCAACAACTAGATTGTATATCCACGTCTCTGCGTTGATGGCAATATTTCATAAACCACTCAATTACCCAAGGAAAAGAACGTTTACTCAGAACATGCTCGGACCCAAGCAGAACTTTCTTACTTTGCTCAATGGTTAAACAATGTGGGTATGGATCAATACCTATACATACCATTTTTAGTGGGATGAACATCCATTTACCAAAGTCAAGACTTCCTTCTCTGACAAAGTTGGTACGCCACAGACGTCAGTAACGTCGGGAAACATAGCGCGCGACAGCGGTTGAAAGAGGGGGGCAGGAGGGAACCCCTGCTTTGCGGGGTTGCCTAATCTTGAGACTTCATAACATTGTATAGGTGATTCATCATATAGTGATTATAATGTTATGATAACATTGTATAATTCATCATATAGTGATAAGTGATAACATCGTGTATAATCTTTATGTGCACATCGATATAAAGTGCAACTAGCTTTGATGGTGATACTATCGGATGTCACCTCACAAGACCGGTCTTTTTCGGTCTGAATCGAAATTTAGAGCCACCAATCATGTGGTGTTCCGACTGTACAAACCATGCAAGTTTAGATGTCAATGATTGGTGTCAAGATGGGGGATAGACCAAAAATGCAATAAACATGCATATATCACTGCCATGTCAATGGTGACATATTTTTTCAACAAATAAGGGATGATTGAAGGTAGCTCCGTAGGTGTTCTTTGATCTTTCACCGTGAGCCATGGCCAACATGACATCGCCCACTGGCCCCATGGAACATCCTGTAGATCATGTCCCCATGGGAAAACCACCAGAGTTTTTCTGGCTTTCTGTAGATACCTATGGATACTGTACCCCATCCCTGGGTTGATATGGCAAAATTAGGGGTATCCCAGAATCCTTTGAAAATCATCCATTTAATTTTCGGATTCTCCATGAAATAAACCATCCAGCTATTGGGGGTACCCCCATGATTATGGAAACCCCTGGTCGATTCTCATGGAGACCGAAAAAGAAACAACATGGTGATTTTTGACCATGGTGATCTTATTCACTCATGATTTCAATGATTTCAATGTTTCCTAGGGTGAATATCTATCATTTACCTACTGGTTGTGAGCAAATGTTGGCTGCCCCTCTTTTTCATCAATCAGTGGAAAAAGGACATCCCATGATACGAGTTGCAAATGATGTATATTTATTGTTGTTCCATTTATATCCACTGTATGTATGTATAACTATATAAAGATATAAATTGTATGTGTATATATATATATATATTGTATGACACTTATCCATTCTTCATTGGTGAAATATACTTTTTTTGTTGCTGCTTCAATCTCATGCCTTCATCCCTGATGCTTGAGTCCCATAATATTTCACTCATCTGAATAGTTCGGCCATAAAAGGGGATGATTTCCCTAAACCATGATTCCAGTGTTCGGGAGAAAAGGGTTCGGTCGTTCTAATTTACCCAGACTTATGCACTTGTTATTACCCTCTGGTAAACTAACATAACTATGGAAAATCACCATTTTTCATGGGAAAACTCACTATAAATGACCATTTTCAATAGCTATGTTAAATTACCAGAGGGTAAGGGTCATACACATTACCGGAGCTGAGAGACTGAAAAGTCACCAGCTGCTACCTGCCCCCGCTGGCGCCAGTCAACATCCCGAAGAGGTGGAAGGACGGCTCTTTTCTTTCCCAAATTCATCCAATCACCAGAGCAACGGTCATTAAGGATTACGGACATTTACACCTGATGAATCAACATCAATTAATCATGAGATAAAATTGCAGTAATGATCATTGAACTGTAACGATATTCTCTTCTTTACCCGATCACGGGTTGTACACACTTCAACCACTACGGTGATCCCGAAAGTAGGAACCAACTTAAGAGATCCGTTGGATCTCATTAACAGAATCGACACTCAATTTACTGTTTGGATTCATAGATCTCTCTACCGACAGTGGGGCCACCTTTGGTGAAACTGACTGTAGGGTCTAGAGTTTCTAACCATGTCTTTTTCTCTCGGAAAGAACCCCTCCAAAAGCATGGCGATCTGTGACACCATCGCCAAACAGGCAAGCTCAGCATTGGAAGTTTCGGCTGCAATGTGGCTGCTGTTGTGGCATCTCACCTCGTTGTGACTTCAAACAATTGGGCGTTTGGCAGTTGCACTGCCGCCCGCAAGGTACAGCTGCATTTCAACAGAGCGGCGAAAATGGCCAGCCCGTTTGGCAGCTGCTGAGGTACCCGTCTTTTTCAGCCCATCTAGGGCATTGCCGTGAAAAAATGACCAGTGTATCAAAATCAATCTGTGGCTCTGAAGCAGCTCGGCTCAACGACAGACAAATAAACCTATGGGTCGTTTCGGAGGTCCCAAATGGTCCCAATGTGAAACGTTTGTTGCATTGTAGAGGGGTGCTTGAGCAGTGCTTGTCTCTCTAGTTTTTGACCTGGCAATGGAAACAAAAACACAATAGAAACATCATCCAAACAGGTTGGATTTAGGAGCCAGCCAGCCTTCGATACCAGCACATCCATCAGTTG